AGTTTCGGAGCCTATTCGAAACAAACAAACAAACAAATCTTTTCTCTTTATAATATACTAGCGACCCGCCCTCGCTTCGCTTCGGAAACATTAAAACACACATGAAACCAAAAAAAATAAATAAAAAAATAATTAAAAAAAGTAGCCTATGTTCATCAGGGACAATGTCGGCTTCTAATGGAAAAAGAATTTTTCAAATCGGTCCAGTAGTTTCGGAGCCTATTCGAAACAAACAAACAAACAAATCTTTCCTCTTTATAATATTAGTATAGATATATAATATATATAATATATAATATATATATATAGATAGATAGATAGAAGATAGATTAGTATAGATATAATATTAGTATAGATCATACGTGAATGATCTCTGATGCTTATTTAGGATTAAGATCCATTGCAATAGTTATAGAAATTATAATTCCTATGCGGATTATGCAAAAAAAACCAAAGTAAGTTGTGTTCGTGTCTTGAGAAAATCGCAATAAGTTTTTTGAAGTGTTCCAAAAATAATTTCTCTGATTATGATTTATTTATTTTATTTTATTTATTTATTAAGTTGCACCAACAAAGTGATCATCAATACAAAACATTGAACAATTGACAAAAGTTCATGGCAGATGTCACCTCAATTATAGGGGAAATCGACAGTGCATTAACATCAAAAATAAAAAAAATATACAGCTAAGATTTGATTACATTTCATTCATTGCTTAAGATTAATTTATATTTAATTGGGAGATGATCCGCGACAGATTTTTCCTGTAAGTTGTGAGACAGTTAGAAAAAACATCTATTTCACTTAAAATTAGTTCAGCGCAATGGGACAACTCTGAAGGAACATTACTGGAGGTCGTGTCATTTTTAGTTAGCGTTGTCCGTGCTGAGATTAGCTTGCAAGGGCCAGTGCTGCTCGAAGCCTGCGGTGAGTCGAGGCTGAGCTTGAATGCTGCGTGCGTGTCGCCAGTGCTGCTCGAAGTTTGCAGTGAGTCGAAACTGAGCTGAATGTTGCGTGATTGTCGCCAGTGCTGCTCGAAGTTTGCGGTGAGTCGAAACTGAGCTTGAATGCGGGACGACTGTCAATGACGTGCTTTTATCTGCGAGAATGCGGGGATTGTGGTAGCCGGAGTTCTTGATGCGCTGAAGATGAATCAGAAAGTTGCGTGTTCACATCACGTCGGGGTCACCAGTTTTGGGGAAGCTTAACGACAGAGGGAAGATCTTCCACCGAGCGGATGATATTGCTCGGTAGACCGACGGTCCGAATGTTGTTGTTCGGAACTTGTATATATGCGCTTTATCTTGAAAATGTCGTAAGCGAGATTCAGGCATCTGTCAACTATCTTGCGTTGTATGATGGCTACCCGCCACACATTGTCACTTATTATAATTTTTTTTTTAATTTTTTTTAAATGGTATTTTGAGTACTCTTTAAACACTTTTAAGTACGTACATTTTAAGTCAGTAAGTACTTTAAGTACTTTTTAAATATTTGCGATTTATTCTTTTGATCGAAAACTATTCATTATTATTATTATTATTTATTGCCTAGATCGGTGGATGAGCTCACAGCCCACCTGGTGTTAAGTGGTTCCTGGAGCCCATAGACATCTATAACGTATATGCGCCACCCACCTTGAAATATAAGTTCTAAGGTCTCATAGTTACAACGGCTGTCCCACTCTTCAAACCGAAACGCATTACTGCTTCACGACAGAAATATTACTTGAAATTATGGCTGGATTTTCATGCATACTATAGTTGAGCCAGACGGAGTACCGCTAATATGACGTATAGTGGAAAAGCATGCGTAGGTACCACCCTACCTATTTTGATCACGACGTAATCATGTATTCCAGTTTGAACCTTACAAATTTTATTTTTATTTTTTTATAGCTTAGATGGGTGGACGAGCTCACAGCCCACCTGGTGTTAAGTGGTTCCTGGAGCCCATGGACATCTACAATGTAAATGCGCCACCCACCTTGAGATATAGGTTCTAAGATCTCAGTATAGTTACAACGGCTGCCCCACCCTTCAAACCGAAACGCATCACTGCTTCACGGCAGAAATAGGCAGGGCGGTGGTACCTACCTGCGCGGACTCACAAGCGGTCCTACCACCAATAAATAGTATAGTAGTATAGTATTTTCTTATGGTTTCACGAGTTGTAGACGCTGTTGAAACTATGTGTGATCAGAAGGTAGCGTGTTCATATCACGTCGGGCTTAGTAACATTTGGTTGGGTTCTTCAATAAAATACTGATGACATATTAGGTATTTATTGCACACCTTGCTTAGTTGGCGGTAGGCGGACGACTGCCCTCGCAGGAGCGTCGCCCGACATCGCACATACATACGCGGCATATTGCAATGTGCAACATTTCATATTATCTACATTACATATCGACGCTTGAAAGGCAAACGTGACTAAGCGACAATGCGTGAACTTTACAGTAGACTAATTTAAAGTTGAAATACCTGAAAACAAAATTTATTTTAACGAATCTAGCTGTAGTAGAATCTAGCTAGTAGCTGTAGGACTGAAATGATTTTAATAGACCTAGAAATATATATTTTTTACGCATCGAATATGGTTATTGCCTATCATTTATGTACAAAGCAGTTATTGTCGCTTAGTTACTTTTGCCTTTCAAGCGTCAATATGTAAACAAACACAAACAAACAATGAACAAAGTAAGGGTAAAATAATTTTGACGTATAAACCTTAGCAGTTCGTGACCACGAGAACTGTATTCGAAATATTGGGAATAATAGAATGACAATATTTGTATTTAATCGTATGTAAGTTTTTTTTTTTTTTTTGCTTAGATGGGTGGACGAGCTCACATCCCAGCTGGTGTTAAGTGGTTACTGGAACCCAAAGACATCTAAAACGTAAATGCGCCACCCACCTCGAGATATAAGTTCTAAGTTCTAAGGTCTCAGTATAGTTACAACGGCTACCCCACCCTTCGAACCGAAACGCATTACTGCTTCACGGCGAAAATAGGCGGGGTGGTGGTACCTACCCGTGCGGACTCACAAGAGGTCCTACCACCAGTGATTACGCAAATTACAATTTTGCGGGTTTGGTTTTTATTACACGATGTTATTCCTTCACCGTGGAAGTCAATCGTCAACATTTGTTGAGTACGTATTTCATTAGAAAAATTGGTACCCGCCTGCGGGATTCGAACACTGGTGCATCGCTACATATGAATGCACCGGACGTCTTATCCTTTAGGCCACGACGACTTCAAGTTTATCTTATATTGTATTTATTTTTCACATGTGTATATATATTTTCATGTAAATTTATTATGATATAGTACCGTCTAGTTCGCTTATTCCTCTCTCTGCAAGGTAGCCTGGAAGAGATCGCTTTCAGCGATAAGGCAGCCCATTTATGTCACCGACTATTATTTGTTTTATTTGCTTACTCTGTACATATGGTGTTAAATAAAGTGTTATTATTATTATTGCAATAGAAAATGCGATAATAAACTGTTAAATAAATTATTATTACTAATGGTCGCCCACTGGTCAAAGTTCGACCAAAAGTATTAATTTGAATAAAAAATTTGAACATTATTATGGCTCTATTGTCAAAAGATATACTATAGAAAAATAATATTAAAGAAAAAGAATATTAATCTATATTAGACCGCAGACCTTAACAATAAACAAAAGAGTATATAATATGTGTGTGTGTGTATGTCAAATACATGGTGTTCGACTTTCCGAGGGATGATTATGAAAATAAACTTGGATTAGAAAAACTTGTATATTCAATAAAAAATCAATAATCTAGGATACAGTGTCACTTATGACAAGGTTATCATGACAACGGATTTGCGTATTACAGCGCTCTCTAGTGACGGTTTTAGGAGTTGGAAAAAACAGGGTGAACATTCCGCCCACCATGAATTACAAAAGTTCATAGCCAACAATGAGGCCATCAAATTTTACATGTACAATTAACATCTCCATGAAACCGTAACATCTTAACCTAATAGTAATCAATAAAGAACTGCTCAACATGAACTAAATATAAACTTACACATTAAAGAAACCATAATAACGACAGAGTTCAGTCAAGGGTTGCTTTTAAACAGTTCGTACTTACTTACAACTAAACAATAACAAAATACTTAATAGCTGATGCATCCAAAGATACATTTAAGTTACATACATTGCATGAAATATCTACAGTTTTCAGGTAAGTAATGTTAAAAAGCGATAGGCAAAATGCAAAGTTTGGAGACTGGTCTTACAATTTTAGATTTCTTACATTTGATAGTACCCTTATCTGGATGAGTGTGCTTCTCTTCTATCAAACCGAATAACCATTTTGAAGGAGGGAGACTATCTTCCTTAACAAGAACAACGTCACCTAATTGGGGTTCTGGTGTAGTTTTAGTCCACTTATATCTCTGATTTAGAGTCGTGAGGTACTCGGCAGACTACTTACGCCAGAACTGTTAAGTCATTTTTTTGTATTATTTATTTGCTCAACATCCTTAGAAAATGCTTGAGTCTGACAAACTATAATTCCTATCTTTAATGCATGATCTAATTCGGAAGCCGTCAAGTAATAAGGATATCGCTTTGACCTTAATTTATTAATAAATCGAATGCAAAACGCGACCACTCTAACCGTTTTTTTGATAAAGATGAATACTTCGTCCATGTCTGGAGATCTGACCAAGCCACTTCGGAAATAGTTAGGTGATGAGACTTCAACGGCTTGGCTTCTAAATCAGTCGATATGTTTACCGTTGGCGATACATACGTGGATTCTCTTAAAAACGCAGGGCCATGGAACCAGAGTTCACAGTGGATAAATTCTTGTGGAGCCAGCCCTCGGGATGCACAGTCGGCTGGATTCTGGCATGACTCCACATGCGACCATTGGTCGTTGTTTAAAACTGTCAGGATTTCAGTCACTCGATTTACGACGAAGGTCGTCCATCGATTTGGCTGTCCCTTCAGCCAAACCAGAGCGATGGTGGGTTCAGTCCTTTGCCACTTGTTGCAAACTCTTAACTGCTAGATATGGGGCCGACGAAACACCAAAGGTAACTCTTAACAGCCTGCAGTCCTTGACTTCTTCACTAGGATTCTCTCTCCACAGTACTCGCTGGAAGTCAGTATGCTCTGGTACGACCTTGACCATTCGATACATCTTAGCTATGTCCGCTGCGAAACATATAGGATAAGTACGCCATTTCATAATTATGTGTCGTAACTCTGGTTGAAGCCTTGGACCTACCAACAAATCATTGTTCAATGACTTGCCGCTGGTACCCTTACACGAAGCGTCGAAAACAACGCCGAGCTTCGTTGTACTTTTGTCCTCGCGAACAACCAACTGCATGATGAGGTAGATAAACGCATCCTGGCTTAGCAGCTTCTTGTTTGTCATTAATTACTTCTATATGATTCATAGCCAGGTGGCTACATTTATTACCTTGGATTATTCTTGCTTCAAGAATGGATTATTTTCAAGTTTCTTCTTGAGCAAGTGGATTGTTGTCGCGAAAAGGANTGTCCCAATGATCAGTCGGTTCGCCCAGCGACTCTAAAGCTCTCAGGCTTTTATTCAGCTGATCTATGAAACGTCTTAAATTAAACGAAGATTCACTCTTTATTGCGTCTATATTAAATAAATTATTAACATGTGTTTGAATTAATAGGCGCTTATTATCGTACCTCTCACATAACAGCTTCCACGCCACAGAATAGTTACTGGCAGAGAACTGAATCTCCTGAAGCAGTACAGCAGCAGAGCCTTCTAGCGAGGCCCTGAGGTAGTGGAATTTATTAATTTCTCCTATCGCCTCGTTCGAATGTATAAGACTACTGAAGGTGTCATGGAATTCCAGCCAGTTGCTATATGAACCATTAAATTTGGGTAGATTAATGGTAGGTAATTTAACCAGGCGATGATTGCTCACATGAGAACAACTCTCAAAACTATGAGCATCGGTTTGTAACAATTTAGAATTACGAGAAAGAATCTCCTGAGCCTGTGAAAGGGATTTGTAATAAATCGATTCGAAATCTTCTCTCTCTGTGCTTTGCGAGCTGAAATCGTCAGCGAGGCATTCTATTTTAGTTTGTACTACGTCATATTGTTCAAATAATAATTCGATCTTACCGATTCTTAATTGCAATTCATTAACTTGTTGCTGATTCAACGTACCGCTCAATTCCTCGATGTACTTTCTGAATGTAGTCAATCGGCCTTTTAGACTAGCTCGTTTTTTAACTAGCTCCTTTTGATCTTTCTCACTCATTTTTGAAGTATTTGGGCAGAAGCGGGCTAGTTAATCTAGTATTGATAGAAGTTATAATTGAAATCATGAACTGTAATGACAACTAAAATGAACTATACAGTCACACTATTATGTACACACCTATAATTAATAAATAAATAATAATTTTACAAGTGTGAAAGACAGACTATTACCAAAAAAATGCCAACAAAAACACATTAAACAAACCACATAGTTAACCCAGCTTGTAATATGATAAATATAAATAATCTAAACAAAAAACAGAGTAATGGGTTACACATCACTAATATGTCCTGAATATCAAACTTTGATCACTTCCCTTATTTCCTGGGTATCTCGGCTCGATGGACCATGTAGCGGACGGTTTCTTATTTAGATATTTATATTTGTGAGGAGGAAGATTTTTACAATAAAACAAAATAAAATTATGATGCGACTTTCATGGCTGACAGTTTATAGTATTAGTCCTACTGACATTAGAAACAAAATTTAAAAATTATAAAAATATAAATGACAGCTTTGCAACTAAACTTTTTACTGCGGTTCCGAACATACCCTTTAGTTAGCGTTGTCAGTGCTGAGATTAGCTTACAAGTATCAGCGCTGCTCGAAATCTGCGGTAACTCGAGACTGAGCTTGAATGAAGCGTCAGTGCCGGAAGTAGTTCACGTAATATAGAGTTGCTGCATCGGAGATGTATGCCCAATGTGTTGATGATCTGGTCGTAGGCTGGGAGAGGCTGTAGCGGCCTGACGAGGCAGTGAAGGTGCAAGTCGCAGGACCAGGAAACGCGATGAGTTGGCTGCGATGTTGGCTTGCTGTAGGATAACTGATGATAATGCCATGATAAGGCGTTCTTCAAACTATATGACAGAGACTTACTGGTGGTAGGACCTCTTGTGAGTCCGCACGGGTAGGTACCACAACCCTGCCTATTTTCTGCCGTGAAGTAGTAATACGTTTCGGATAGAAGGGTGGGGCAGCCGTTGTAACATTACTGAGACCTTAGAACTTATATCTCAAGGTGGGCGGCGCATTTACGTTGTAGATGTCTATGGGCTACAGTAACCACTTAACACCAGGTGGGCTGTGAGCTCGTTCACACATCTAAGCAATAAATAAAAAAAGAGAAGCTAACACCACATTGACTTGCCCACATGGCTAAGTTGTTTGGTGACATTGAAGTTGTAATTTCTATGGGGACTATTGAGCATTAAATTGTGAAGACAGACCAGGCCGCTTGCATAAAAAAAACAATCCACATATTACACAGCAGTTTGACAGCGATTCGATTCAAGTAATTATGCCAGTAAACTAACGAAGCCACGTTAATTCACTTCGAGTCGCATTAATTAGTTTGGATGACACGGCGCCGCGCTAAGAATGTACCCAACATTGATTGGAAATTCCGTCAGACCTTCGATATCAAATTACATTTAGCAGCTAATAATGCTTTCATCTGTTTCATAGCAACTTGTTCGCAGACTCGTTCACTTTGATAGTTGCTTAATTGTTGAAATGTAAACTAAATTATTTGACCGGAAGTGATAGTCCAGAGTCAGCAGTGAAATTTATTTGCCTATTGTTGATGTTTCTGTTGTGTGAATTTTGTTTTCGAGATCTAATGAACAATAATATTTGCCGGAACTTCTCGGTGGGTCGCGATTCCAATTCGGTCGCAGGTTTAGCAAAGCACTGCTCTTACTGGGGCCACTGCTAGCACATTCTCAGAGGTAAAGCCCTCTGCGCTCACCTACCAGTCCGTAGGTAGCTGGAATAGTTCCTTAGCCTACTAGGGATTAGATAGGGAAAAGAAAGAAAAAACATATTTACTTTGTCAATTTTCATCCCTAGATGGCCGAGACCATATTCCCCACCTTGCTGTTTTTACAGCCAATGGACTCTTTAAGATGTTCTGTAACTTAAATCGATCACACACTCTATCCCCACTGACCATATTCGGGCACCTAATTCCACATATCCAGAGTGCTCACTAGGCGCAAGAACCTCTTAGAAGATTCGGCCCCGGCCCGAAAAAAACTGGGGGATTTTTCTGCAGGAGACTATCGGTCAGGGAACCTCGACAAGATATCTTGTAGAGTTCCTTTGAACCCCTGTTTCTACAGCTGAGTCCACGGGCCTCAAGGTCACCAGCATTCCTCCATCACAAAAGGTAGTAGTGAAAGATAGTATTAAAACTTAATAATGATTAAAGCCCGTATATCTATCAGACAATTCTAAGCACGCCTGGCGCCTTCAACCGAACTATTGCGGATTACTTGCTTATCTAATAAGAGTGAGGCTCACTGGATTTGCTTAATTGATTTTCGGATGAAATTAAATATGGTGTTAACATTGCCACATATAAAAAATTTCAAACTTTTAAAGCAAAATATTAGCGTATTCTTAAGGAAATCGCTACAGTGATTTATTACCATCTCAATACATTTTTGATTTCGGAATGTCTGAATAAATATCATCTTCACGGTCTACACAAAGATTAAAGACGAAAAATTCTTCCTTAGCGAAGTTAAATGTTTATCATTTTACGCTAAAAGATTTGCATTCATCAACAATACATTTCCAAAGATAATTTTTACCATGTTCTAGAATTAATTATCCTGCTTACTACTCGACTAGACCTAGCATGTTTCTTAGAAGCTTAAAAATGTTCTTTGGCTATGCCTGAGACGTTATCAGTTGCTAGTCTCCACGAGTAAGAGTGATTATTCTCTGCACGGTGGGTCACTACATCTATGAGCATATTATGCATATGGGCGCAATAAGCAATTTATGCAAAATAAATTAACGTCAGAGTCATATAACTAAAATATATATTGTGAATATTAAGCTATATTTTGTGAATTGTTTCGCAGTAATTACATTTGTCTGTTTAAAAGAAGTTGTAGTTGCTACAACCAACACAAAATAGCTATTTGCGTAGAAACTAAGACGTAGCTTTTTGTAATAAACAAGTAATGTTAATGTTTTATATAATTGTATTGTATTTTCATTGTAATAGATCTTAAGTGTGAAAACCATGGCGTAACGCCATGACATAAACAATAACAAATAAAAAAAGATGTGGTGTCGTGGGACACCAGGTTGGAACGAAGTTCCTTCGGCTAATGTAGAATCGACACAATTTGCAAAAAAAAATCGTGCTCAATTTTATGTAGGTTTTCTTGATTTTTCTCTTAAATTTTACTGATTAGTTTTTATTTAAGTATAGGAAAGTATTTAGGAAATTCAGTATTTTAGGAAATACAAACTTACGTAAAAAATCGTAACTCAAATTATCAATTAAAATAACAAAATATGTCTCTTTATTTTTGTTTGACAACATAAAATTACATAGAAATAGAAATAATTACAAAAAGAAGGAGAAAGAGAAAGGTATTATATACTACTCGCTTGTGTATACGACTGTCGCGCCTGCGCACGTCTCATTTAACGGTTTTATTCCACGGGCTCTTTCTTACGGTTTTACTATCACATTTTTTTCAGTTCGGTCGCGCAGCAAAGTCCCTATCTCCTCCAAGCCTGCCGTAAGGAACTTCGTTCCAAAAACCATAATTGAAATTCACTTACCGACAACAGTAAGATTGTAGCGGNACTACTCGCTTGTGTATACGACTGTCGCGCCTGCGCACGTCTCATTTAACGGTTTTATTCCACGGGCTCTTTCTTACGGTTTTACTATCACATTTTTTTCAGTTCGGTCGCGCAGCAAAGTCCCTATCTCCTCCAAGCCTGCCGTAAGGAACTTCGTTCCAAAAACCATAATTGAAATTCACTTACCGACAACAGTAAGATTGTAGCGGAAACTAGTGGTCTGCGTGTTGCGGAAATCCACCCGGCACCTGTAGACGCCCTCGTCGCGGCGCTTCACGTCCCGGACCAGCAGCGCCGCCGGGGCGGGGGAGGTGGAGAAGTGGGCTCGAGGACCGAACACTTCCGGAGCGGACCAATGTCGGGCTTCTGACAATGGCTTCCCGCGGACGTCGAAGCTGTAACAACATTTGCTATTTGAAAAATTCTGAATTCATTCTTTAACCTTTCATCCTGATGTGGATTTGAGATCTAACACGTTATTCTTATTCTATTGTCATCAAAGGAAGACCAGCTTATGAACAATCTGTCGTGTTCCCATCGTTAACAACGCCCTAAGCTTTTTTTTTTATTGCTTAGATGGGTGGACGAGCTCACAGCCCACCTGGTGTTAAGTGGTTACTGGAGCCCATAGACATCTATAACGTTAATGCGCCACCCACTTTGAGATATAAGTTCTAAGGTCTCAACAACGGGTGCCCCACCCTTCAAAACGAAACGCATTACTGCTTCACGGCAGAAATAGGTAGGGTGGTGGTACCTACCCGCGCGGACTCTCAAGAGGTCCTATAGTAACCAACGCCCTGAGCTTGTTAATGATTACCATAAAAGACTGAGGTGATCAAATCAAGAAGCTTTTTATTCAAGTTTGTCTTGACAGGCACCTTTGAATCCTCATGACTTTACCAGCGACTTAGTGGACCGATACAACTTCGCCACTGTGAAAAACCGACAACAATGTCAGGATTCGCTCTTTTTCATATAAATGTACATAAATCACATGATATTTAACAATATTATTAAGCCGTATATAATATAATAATGACTTGAACTAGAATAAACAGACCTACGTCACCGATCTGTGGACAAGAATGTGTTCGTACCGCTACATCACACTTGGCCAAAGAAGCACAATAAGTAAGTACCAAGTCTACATTTCTATTCCTATGCAATAACATAACTATTCGACCGAATCGGCAATGCAGTAGATAGCGGCACTGACTGGTGCGTCGAGGGTCGTGGGTTCGATTCCCATATAGACCAAACATTCTATGGTTTGTAACATTCTATGTAGCATTCTATGATTTGTTTGCCCTTTATCTGGGTGTCTATTATCTATATATGTATATATTTAAGCGAATATAAGTTTGTATTTCCCCCTATAGGTAATACAGGGAATCCTAAATTGGGGCCGGATGAGTGTGTATTATTTGTCCCCACTTATTATTATAGCCGTTTCACATTCGACTAGAACAGAACAGATTTAACTTATACACACGTACAATAAAAAAAGAAACGTATACGTGAAATCCGAAAACAAAGTTTAAAATAACATTCTAGTAGGTATTGTAATCGAAAATGTATTTATTTAAAATGTATTCAAACTTTTATTAGCCCAATTTGAGTTATTAATTATAATAATTTTCTTACTATCCTTTGAATTCTTTCACATTACTTTACGTAAGATAAAACGTAAAAGTAGTCTAATTCACAAAAGTTGGTTGAACTGCGTATCGAATCCAGTCATTTTAAATTAACATGAATGTAATTAATGAATCCATTGCTAACACAATTTCGGCTCGCAGTTAACTAAAGGGTCCAAAGGAATAAAATTCATTTCGATTCGCGCACATTGAACATTTTATTTCTAAATAACCAACCGTTGGTTTCGCATTAAATAAATTACAGCTATGTACATTTAGGTACCTATGTATTACAATGTAGATTCAATCAGGGTCACCCGCCAAGCAAGCGCCGGGCGCCGACCCGTTCTCGTGTGTACATAAAAACGCAGCGANACTAAAGGGTCCAAAGGAATAAAATTCATTTCGATTCGCGCACATTGAACATTTTATTTCTAAATAACCAACCGTTGGTTTCGCATTAAATAAATTACAGCTATGTACATTTAGGTACCTATGTATTACAATGTAGATTCAATCAGGGTCACCCGCCAAGCAAGCGCCGGGCGCCGACCCGTTCTCGTGTGTACATAAACACGCAGCGAACACACACCGAACAAACATAGTTTAATCTCGGTGAGGCTGATCGTCGGGAGCGCCAATAAAACGGTCGATTCCTCGTTGGACCAAAAACCAAACGGCTTACTTTTGTTTTCCGGAACAAAAATCGCTGGAATATATTGTCAGCGGCAGGCAGTATCGCGGCCGGGGATCGTTTGGCCGCAAACCGCACGTCACAGCAGAGCGCGGCCTACATCTGCCCTTTCAAAAGTTGAACGGGAACACGCGGCCCTGAGTGCATTCATCGCTGATACGTCCTGTAGGTGATAGCGCGTGAAATGGCATACGCTTTTATTCTCGCCATAAAAAATATCAATGGAATGTGACACACGCTGTTTCTTTTTTTTAAGATGTACACGTCTGTTATTATTGACATGGTATTTTCTTGTTGTGGCGGATAGCCATCATAGGACATATAGAATATAGAATATATTTGACAGGTGCCAGACATGACATGCTTACGACATTTTCAACATAAGCTGGCGTATATTCCAAGTGCCGAACAACAACATTCCGGCCGTCGGTCTACCGAGCAATTTCACCAGCTCGGTGGAAGATCTTCCCTTTGCCTTTAAACTCCCCAAATTATCTTGACTGTCAATTTCACATGTCAGAAATATCCCGATCGAACAAACCATGTTTTAAAATGTATTTCAGTCCAATGTAACATAATTAATCTTAATAATGAACGATGTGAGATCCTCTGGCTAGGGAGAAGGTGATGGCGTCCACCAGACTCTTTAAATTCTGTATTCGCCAAATTTGAAGTTCATAAAACGACTGGTGATGCTATGCTTTACCTAATGTTTTTTTTTTAATTAACGATCGTAGTTATTGCCCTTCAGACTTCGAAAACGATCCTTGAAGATAAAAAACCACTAAACCGATTTAATCCTTCGAAATTTGAACTTTTTAAACCTTAAGCAAATTAATAAAATATAAATAAAAGTCCTATTACATAAAATTCTCTAAAAAACTAATCCCTATGACATCCTATTATGTACTGAATGGTGACATTCTGCAGCAAGTCAATGAAATTCGAGATTTGGGCGTGATGATGGATAACAAATTAACATTCAAAGCACATATTGATACAATTGTTATTAAAGCTGCCAGAATGCTGGGATTCCTAAAAAGAAATACTAAGGGATTTATGTCCTCAAACACTAAAATAATATTATATAACTCGCTGGTTCGCAGTCAACTTGAGTTCGCATCAGTAGTTTGGGGTCCCCATTACGCTACTTACTCGCAGCGTATTGAGAGCGTACAGCGTGCATTCACTAGGCACTTGGCATTCCATTCTTCTAGCATATCTTACCGTACCACATATGATCTACGTCTTAAACATTTTAAAATGATATCGCTCGGCAACCGTCGTAGAATAATTAATATCATGTTCCTAAAAAAACTAATTTCCGGAAGCATAGATTGTAGCCACTTACTTCAGAAAATCAACTTTAGCGTTCCATACCACTGCCCACGGCATCCTATTACTGAAATTTTCCATATTCCCGCAAGTAGAACAAACCTCCTTAGATATTCCCCTTTATCAAAGATTTGCAGTGAATTTAACCAAATATGTGCATTAATTGACGGCATTGACATTTTTAACGACACGTGTCCTGGTCTCAAAAACAAACTAGTATCCAAGTTCCTTTGCTTATAATTGATGAGAGAATGTCATTCTGATTACATTGCGCAGTCTGTTCTATGTATTTATATTTTTTGCATTGCCGCGCTCGAGTTTTTTAATTTTTTTATAGTTTTATAATTTTTGTTTATAATTTTTTACTATATAAATATGTGCATTATTTCTTATTTAGTAATCTGTAAAGTTAGTAGTGTGTGTAGTTAGCTCTTGTTTTCATGTTGTTTTCAAATATATATATTGCTGTAACATGTCATAGTGTGTTATAGGAGATTGCTGTACATGCCTGTAACTGGCTTACATACCAGAACTTAATTTTATACATGTTAATTTTAAGCTTGAATGTTTTGTGTGTATTGCTGTTGGTGTGTCTTAATAAATAAATAAATAAATAAATAAATTTAAAAAAAAAACATTTTGTTTCTCTTAGTAATTTTAATTTATCGGGATATTAACGGGCTCATATTTTTAGGGTCCGATAGGCAAACAGAAATAGGTAATTCTGCGCGGGCCGGCTGCCGACATCAGCCACGGTGTAGTCGTACTTATTAAGCTGAGGGTAGGGTAGTCGCTTTGTAATTCATAGCAAATTTATTCACTGAAATTTAAAACGTGTATATTTTATAGAAGTTGGTAGAATGTGTAAATAATTATGTTCTTAGGTCGTCAAAACATATTATGACATTAAGTGTCAACTGGATAATTCTGACATTCTACTCGTAGGTCTTAAAAGTATCATCTTATAAAAACTGTTTGAAGGAACTAACAATATTCTGTTAAGTTTGTTTTTGGGATTATTTGTATCTTACTTTGACCATAAATCCGAACTACGGAGCCGAACACTGACTACGCGCTACCCCACACCTTCTTTTTTAGTTACACCCGGCTCACCGCCGTCTTTTTTAGTTCTTAATCGCTTAATATCTTAACGTTGCAATTTGATAGCTGAATAATTTGGTTCAAACAAACCACCCTGCCTATTTCTGCCGTTAACCAGTTTCGCTTTTATGGGTGGGGCAGCCGTTGTAACTATACTTGAGACCATAGAACTTATAACTCAAGGTAGGGGGCGCATTTACGTTGTAGATGTCTACGGGCTCCAGTAACCACTTAACACAAGGTGGGCTGTGCAAGTTTATTGCTTAGATGGGTGAACGAGCTCACGGCCTACTTTATGTTAAGTGGCTACCGAAGCCCATAGACATCTACAACGTAAATGCCGCCACCCACCTTGAGACATGTGTTCTAAGGTCTCACTTTTAACAGTACAACGGCTGCCCCGCCCTTCGAACCAAAACGCATTGCTACCTACCTGTGAGGTCTTACAAGACTTCCTACCACCAGTAATTACACAAATTATAATTTTGCGGGTTTGATTTTTATTACACGATGTTATTATTACTTCATCGTGGAAGTCAATCGTGAGCATTTAACACGCATTTCATTGGAAAAATTGGTAGCTGACGGCGAGATTCAAACACCGATGCATCACTACATACGACTG